CTAGGGATTTTGAACATTTCTTCATGTGTTTGTTGGCCATCTTGAATGTCTTCTTTGGTGAAGTGTCTGTTCATATCCTGTGCCCATTTTTCAGTTGAATTATTTACCTTTGTCTTGTGGTGGAGGCTTGTTTCTTTTTGTAACATTGTTACTGCTTTTTGAAATCTGGACCTTTTTGGTAACAGTTAAAACTGTCCCTCTGTCTCCAGGTTGTCGGATAGGTCAAAACCAAATGGATTTCTGCAGCTCTGCCTCATTTATGGCAGCTGGGAGAGAAAACCTTCCTGTACTGAATACCAGAATAATTTGCCCAGGTAGTATAGATTCTCTAACCTGATCTGTTCATAAATCATTTCCTGAAAATGTGTAAGTATCTGTTCTAATTTAATTGCCTCAAAAACAAGTATGTGTGAACTGAGCCTGTCCAGTTGTTGACATTTTAGGGTGGCCTGCAGCATGGAACCACTAGCAAAGAGCATCTTTTTTAAAATTTTTTTATTAATTTTAATGAACATTTACAGAGATTTTGGATTTCCATTCATTGTTGCACTTTTCTCCCTGCCCAGCCCTCCCCGCCCCAGTTTGTTCTTCTCTTTGAAAAGTAAAAGAAAAATTCCTTCCCTATCATATATCACTTTTAAATTGTCCTCTCCCTCATCTGTTTCAATGCAGTATGCATAATTTATCTAGTTTTTCTCATTCTTATCCCAACCCTGATGTTAGTCCCATTCTACAACAATGGCATTATGCAGAGTTTGTCCTTTTGTGACTGAGATATTTCACTCAGCATAATGTCCTCCAGGGTCACCCATTTTGAATAATATTGCATGAGTTCCTTGTTTTTCAACACAGCGTCGTATTCCGTGGTGTGAATATACCACAGCTTCTCTATCCATTCGTTTGTTGATGGGCACTTGGGTTGTTTCCAACTCCTTGTATTGTGAACAAAGCCGTGATGAACATGGGTGTGCATATATCTGCTTGGGTGGTGGTTATGGTCTCAAAGAACATCTGTAAAGAAATCTTAATAGCAGAACTTACAGTTATTTTGGGAGTTTCCTTTCTGTTTAATAAAATGAACACAAGCCAAGATTTCAGAGAAATCATGAACTAGAAGTTTTCCTTAATCTTGGAAGTTTATTACAAATCCATTGAATAATCTGGAATATATGGAATCATAGAGCAAGATCAAGAAAAGTGGTGACACAGCGAAAATTAGGACCAGCTGTCAAGTTCAGACTCCCATTTAAGCCATTTGAGGCCTTTAGAAGATGAGCTCCCTCTGCTGTAGACTCTTGGCGGTTCCACAGAAATACCTGACTGGTATGACCTGAAGCTCACTTCACATCCATGACACAAAGTCCACTGCCTGCTGCTTTCTTTATGCATCGGTATTTAATGCTCTACTTTCATGTTGTACAAGTAAGATATTATGAAAAGGATAAATAATAATATGTGTTGAATTCCTAACTCTGTAAATATCCCTATTTAAATCCTAACTCTGTAATAAAACCCTATTCGTTTTTTCTTTTAATTGTGATGTTAATGAAAGTTTACAGGAAAAAGTGGATTTTTATTCATTCCTTTTGCAAATTTTCCACCCAATCCTGTTTAGAAGTAGCATTTTTCTTTTGTTGAGGTAATGAAGTCTTTCTTGACTCAAGTATGTCTAGACCTATCACTTCTGAGCTACACAAACAACAGAATAGGCTTAGAGGCACAGCAGAAATACAAGGACCAGGAAACACCGAAGTCTGATGATAGTCACCAGAAACTAACATTCCCAGTGGACTAGGTCACCAGAACTCCCATATAGAGATATCAAATGACCCAGCAATTCTACTTCTAGTCTAGGTATATGTACCAACAATAATTGCAAGTATATGACTACACAGAACCTTGTACATGAATGTTCATAACACTGATAATCATTTAGAAGTACAATGAGCATGGCTGAGGCCCTGATGTCATGCCCCATGTCATGATATTTTTAGCTGCAGCCTATGCACTGGAATGTTGGACACTAAAAAAGATCAAAGAATTGTTTTCTTTGAATTGTGATGTTGACAGAAAGTATTAAATATAACGTCAACTGTTAAAAGAACAAACAGCTCTGTCTCAGAGGGGATGCATCTAGGGCGGGTGCTCGTCAGAGGCATGAAGGGCACTTCTCACATTCTTTGTACATGTAGTTAGGAGGCGTTGTTGTTGGTAAGGTCCATTAAGTTGACTATGTCTCATAGCAACCCAGTGCACAGTAGCTATGAATCCTGTTCTATCCAGAACCAATTTCACACATAGTCTCTAACACACATACCCTCATTACCTCAGTTAATGTGTCAGCCTATCTCATCCAGTGTCTTCTCTCCTATGCTGTCCCTCGACCCTTCCAAGCATGATATCATTCTCTAGAGACTGGTCCCTCCTGGTTACATGTGCAAAGTATGTGAGATGGAGCTTCAAAACTCCTGTCTCCAAGGAGCAGCTTGGTCTCACCCTCACCCTCTCCAGGACAGACCTGTTAATTCTCTTGGCAGGCTATAATATGTTCAGTACTCTTCGCCAGCACCACAGCTCAAAAGCATCAATTCTTTTGTCATCCGTGGACATTGTCCAGAACTCCGATGCATAGCAAGTAATTGTGAAGACCATGGCCTGTGTCAGACACACCTTAATCTCCAGAGTGACATCAGTGCTCATCATTACTCCGGAGAGCTTCCTGACAGCAGATTTTCCTAATGCAATTCATCTTTGGATTTCCTTAATACTGGTGCCAAAGAGTGTGATTGTGGAACTGAGCGAGCTGAGGCACCAGTCCTTGGAAAAAATACATCATACTGGGAAAAGTAGGGGGGTCCTCAAAATAGAGGAAGACCCTTGATGAGATGGATTGACACAGTGCCTGGGATAATTGGTTTGAGCATGGCATGGCAGAGGTTGTGAGAATGGCATGAGATAGGACATTGTTTCTTCTGTGTGTTGTTCACTGTGAGTCTTACATAGTGAATTCAGTGGCATCTAACATCTAGTCATAAAGTGCCGTAATATGTTCACAGCGAGGAAATTAAGTGATATGATAAAATTCATCTTGATTATTTGTTAATCAGCTTTACTTTCGTAATGACAATGATGAACAATAATAATAGTCCTCAACTGTTTATTCTTGAAACCTGAACTGTTAAAGTTTTTCACTTTATTACTTTTCTCAACATTTCTATTTATTATATGTAGTTGGAGCATAGAGAAGTGATAATTCTATACCAGTTTTAAGCAATTCAGCCTTTATAAACAAATTTAATATGGTATTTGCTAGAACAAAGGAAGTAACATTTGTTTCTTGATCTTAAAATATTATTGAGACAGTAGATGGCAAACTCACAGAGACTCCTATTTTAGGTCCTCTTTTGCTTAATTTTCTAAAAAAAAGAAGTTTCTATTCTTAATTGTCTATCTTAACTGGCACTGAGTTGATTCTGAGTCACAGCAGTTCTCCCTTGGGTTTCTGAGGCTATAAATATTTATGAGAGGAGACTGCCCATCTTTCTTTCATGGGTTGACTGGGGATTTAAACTGCTGACCTTTTAGTTAGCAGTCAGGTTCTTTTAACCATTACACCATCAGTACATTCAAACAGCTCTTTAGACATATAAAAAGCCTTCTATTTATCCAGGTTGTTTTGATTAATGAAAAGTAGGCCTGAAATTGTTAGAATGATACTTTTTTCTGATGTCCCTGATATGTGCTCATGTCCATATTTATTTTTTTGGCAGGTTTAAGAGCAGGACTAGCTGCCTCAATTGCTGGGAGTTCCATTATCAACAAAATGTTACTAGCAAACAGTGATCCTTTTGAACCAGAATCAGATTTATTGTAAGGAAATTCTTTTGCATATATTTTGTTTTGATGTTTCCTGTCTCTGTTCTATACAAATGATGAATTTTTTTAAAATGTAAAAACAATTAATATAATTTTACAAAGAGAGTATCAGAAACTTGCAAAGGTAGTTGATACTCAGTACACTGGGCCATTTGAATTCCACTGTCTGTCATGAGCTAGGTCCCTTTCCGGCTATCCCTGCTGTTCTTTCTGGTAGGAACCGTGTGGCTCAATGTCCAGCTAGTCCCTTTTTAATCTCCCATCTTTCTCCTCAGCCTCACCAAATGGAATCTCTCTCTAAATTCAGCTTCTACTTTAGTTCCTTTTGGCAGCTTCTGCTGATAACTGATCTCTCTCCTGAGAATCAGTAAAATATTTTGGTGCTTCAATGAATACTTCTTTTGCCATTTTTAATCTTGCATTTATAACTTCTCATTTCTCTAATGACACTCCTCGAGGAAGGCACGATATTTTCAAATGTCTATATACTTTCAAAAACACTCAGCTCTTACCTTTAACCCAAGACCACCAGTAAGGTGATTAAGTGTCCTCCCTTTCCCCCTTCACATCAACGCCCCTGTTCAGCATGAACAAGCCAGAGAGTCTGCATCCATTTCCCAAATCAATAAGACAGCTGGTTTAATTGCCATTGGAAACTGCTTACCATTCCCCTGTAGCATCTGGTTCCCACTGGATCCTTTTCATTTCCTTCACCTGCTCCCCCCACCAACCAAATTGTGCAGCTCTGCAACTGCATCCCTGCCCATCCTCACCTTTCTGACCCCAACCCTCACCTCCTTGTACCCCCATTATGTTTTTCCCAATAAAATTTTAAAAAAATACAAAAAAAAAACCCAAAACACTCAGCTCTTAAAGATTTTTGTCTAGTAGATTAATAAATATTTGTCCATTAAGAGTAGGCATGAAGAATATTGTCTAATGAGAGAAGCGTTGGTCCTGGCTTCAAGCCTTCCTTCGCCTCCCCCACAATTGCCCTCATCTGTCTGTGGGACTTAATGCACTAAAAGTTAGAAACACTAAGATTATTTTTTCCCCAATTAATAGAAAAGTAAAGCTTGACCCTATTTTCACTTAATGCCTTACTCACCAGCTTTCTGTATCAAGGGTTATACATGTGTAGGGTTCTGTGGATGGGATATGAATGGGAAGTAGTTCCCATCAAGCTTAAGTCTCTCTCATTCACTTTCTCATGAAAGCTTTAGGTAGTTTTAAGTACTGTTTTAAATTCTAATTGTAGCCATTGTTATGAACCAAAAGTTAATAAACTTTTAAATATTTTTATTCTTGACACAGTAAAGATATATATGATGAAAAATGCGTCATGAACAATTACTTTGGTATTGGATTAGATGCAAAAATTTCATTAGAATTTAATAATAAGAGAGAAGAGCACCCTGAAAAATGCAGGTAATTTTTATATTAGTAACATAATTGAACTCAATTTTATTTTAATTTCATGTACTATCTTTTTTTAACCTATTGTTTTTCTACTAATAAATAGTAAATAAATAATATTTACTGAAATTTTTGGCTACATTTATTTCAGGAGCCGTACTAAAAACTTCATGTGGTATGGTGTCCTTGGAACAAAGGAGTTACTACAGAGATCATACAAGAATTTAGAGCAAAGGGTTCAACTTGAGGTAAGTTCACTTCAAGGGATTACCTTATTTAAATTGCTCCATTGAGAAAAAAGAATTTCATATGTGGAGCTCATTTGGCCTAACTGGCCTTTGATTAGCAGTTAAACTCTCAAGAGGGGAAAAAAGATGGAAGTTTTTTTGTAAAGTGTGGTTGTCAGCTCCATTGTAAAGGAGAGAGACAGTGGAGAGTAGTGACAGCCTAACTCTCATTATCACCAAGTCAGTTGGTTGATATTTTACTCATGACCCAGTTGTGTCAAGGTAGAATTGTTCAACATAAAATTTGTAACAACTGATTTTTCAGAAGTTTAGAAACACTTTCTGCCATTGAATCAGAACCAGACCAATTCATAGCTGACCTTCCAGCAGGTTTTCAGAGGCTGGAAATTGCACTGGAGGAGATTGTCCATCTTCCTCCTTTGGAGCAGCTGCTGAATTCCACTCACTTCCTTTGGGTTGGAATTGAAACTCCTTACCCACCAGGCCACCAGAGCTCGCTTGATTTTTCACGAGGAGAGCTTTTTTCTGCAGCATCTTTGGTCGACTTAATCCACTACCCTTTCAGTCAGTGACAAATACATTCTTTATTTTTACCACCCAAGAATCCTCACTAACACTTTAATACTGCAAGCTTTGTGTTGAATTATAGTATTGAAGTATTCGATAATCAAAAACTTAAACAACACAAAACCTATCAAAAGAAGATGGAAGAAGAATTGGTTACATTTCAAAAGATGGCATATGTTCAAAGACTGATAATGCTAAAGGAAAAAGTCCAAGATCCATCAATCAGGCATTCGTGGAAAACATGACTCCAGGAATTGGCAGGATACTAGTTGATAGATTTCAGCAAATAAATAGAATGCAGAAAGCACTCACTTACTACTATATGCCAAAAAATTTTGAAGATTATTTCATTCCCAAGCAACTGGATGAGATCCGTATGTATGCCCTTACTTACAAAATATGATCCATAAAAATGAGTTTATCAAACAAGATCAGTAATACTGCATGCAAGTATATTATGTTAAAAGTAATTCATAATTGATGTAGTTGTACATTGACAGGGAACTGCCAGTAATTAAAGCAAAATTCAGACGAGCATGTGGAATGAGAGTTAATTATTCTGATCCCAGATAGATTATGATTGAAAGCAGAGAATACTATAAAGATGTTTACTGTGTTCTCTTGGCTTCACAGAGGCATTCAACTTTTATGGATTATAATAAATTATAGATACCATTTGCAAAAAAATGGGAGTTTCAGAACACATAATTGTGTTCGTGTGGAATCTGTATGTAGACTAAGAAGCAGCTGTTCACTTAGAACAAGGGGCTGTGGCATGGTTTAAAATCAAGAAAGATATGTATCCGGGTTGTATCTGTTCACCATTCTTATGTGACCTGTATGCTGAACAAGTAATCAAGATTGGAATTGATAGTCTTAGAGTTGATACAATCACTTACTTATGCTCTAGAGCATTTGAAGCACTTGATGTTGAAGTAATGCTTTAGTATGGATTACACCAGAGCAAAAAAAAAATTCTCACAAATAGACCAGTAAACAACATAATATAGAAGAGAGAAACCATTGAAGTTGTCAGGGATTTCCTTTTTTTTTTTTTTAATGGATTCACAAAGCAACACCCATAGAAATAGCAGTCAAGTAGTTACATGAGGTTTTTTCATCAGGGAAATCTGCTGTAAAAGATCTCTTTAGAATGGTAAAAAAACAAACAAACAAAGAACCCAAAGATAGCACTTTATAGACCAAACTGTGCCTAACCTAAGTTATAGTATTTTCTTTCCATTTACATACATTTGAAAGCGAGTAAATGAATGAATGAGGAACTGAACAATAACTGATGTCTTTGAAATATGGTGTTGGCTAAAAATATTGAATGTACCATGGACTTCCAAAAGAATAAACAAATCTGTCCTGGAAGTATAGCCAAAATATTTCTTGGAAGGAAGGATGGTGAAATGTCATCTTCTGTAATTTGGGCATGTTATCAAGAAGTACCAGTCCCCAGAAAGGGATATGATGTGTGGCAAAGTAGAAAGTATTTTGAAACTCCATCTCAAATATATTGGGCACATTGCTAGGAAAAGCCAGTGCTTGGAGAAGGACATCATGCTTGGAAGGGTAAAGGATCAGTGCGGGAGAGAAGACCCTGGATGAGATGGACTGACACAGTGACTGTGGCAATGAGGGCAGATGTGTCAGAGATGGTGAGGTTTGCTCAGGGTAGGGAAGAGTTCAGGGATACTGTTCCTAGGGTGACTGTGGCAATGAGGGCAGACGTGTCAGAGGTGGTGAGGTTTGCTCAGGGTAGGGAAGAGTTCAGGGATACTGTTCCTAGGGTTGCTATGAATCGTTGTCGACTTGATGCTATATAACAGTAACAGTGAGAGCTACGACACAAACAGATATATACACACACCCATATTCATTGCAGTATTATTTTTATTAGCAAAGAAGTGAAGTGCTCATTGATGAGTGGTATGTACACATAACACAGTGCTGTGCAGCACTGAAAGGTGGTGGTGGTGGTTGTTTACCATCAACTCGGAATCAACCCAAAGTTGATCCTCCAGTGGGTTTGCAGAAGCAGTTAACTGAATGAGAAGAGATTACTCATCTTTCTCACGCAGAGCAACTGGTGGATTTGAACCATGTGCCTTTGGAATTGCAATGCAACTTCTTACCATTAGGACACCTGAGTTCCACACTAAAAGATAGTTGAAAGATTATAAAAATACTAGATAGTGTGGATAAATACATTATACTGAATTCAGTCAGTCAGTCAAAAAAAGGACAAATATTGTCTGAACCTGCCATTTATATAAAAACTGAAGAAAGGCTTACAAGGAAAAAGAAACATTTTAGGTGATTTCCAGAGATGGCAAAGGAGAGAGAAGTGAGTAAAATCGATCAGTGAAAGACACCTAGTAAGATGGTTGAAGACAAAGGCAATATATAAGAGGATAATTAGTCCAGAGTCACTAAAAGAAGTGAAGACACTAGCAAACAAACAAACAAAAAATTAGAATATTTACACACTTAATCCTATGATATATGCAATAAGAAGTATGTCTTCATGTCTTAGAACAAAGAAGAGGGAAGGAAAGCAAAGATGTATAGAAAGACTATCCAAAGAATTAGTGAACCCCAGAGTCCTCAGCCGTGAGGCCAGAACTGGACAGGGCCCAGCTACCACTACTGGCTACTCTGCAAGCAGAAGGTCCTGGACAGAATGAGCATAAATGTGGCATGAAACTCCAAAACATAAAAATGGGCACGTTGAAGGGTCGGACAGGAACTTGTGAGTAACTCTCCACCCCCACCCTGCCCATGGTTCAGCTTTCAGCCAAACCGTGAAAACAAAAAACAAACCCAAAACTCATTGCTGTCTAATTGGAACCCCCAATGGATTTTCAAGACTAAATCACATGGGAAGAGACTGTTCCTTTTTTATTTTTCTTGGAGCTTCTGGTGTATTTGAACTGTCAGAGACACATGGCCTTTAAGTCAGCAGCACCAGTTCCTATGGGTTAGGCCAGGAAACGTCTCAAATAATAGACAGACCCAGAAGGGAGCTATTATGAGGGATATTTCACAAGAGATGATGAAAAAGCTCTGGGAAATGTGGAGGGTCAGAGGAAGAGATGATGGCCCTCAAACGAAATGGTTTGACACAGTGACTGTAACAGTGGGCTCGAGCATATCAGAGTTTATGAGGGTGGGCAAAGGTTAGATCTGCTGTTTCCAGGGTCGCAATGATTTGTAGTCAACTAGCTGGTGCCTAACAACAGTGGTAATGATTGAACACCATGATAATTAATATGGTACATGAGAAGACTGTGGAAATAGCAAGTGTTTTATTACCCTTCCACCCTTCCAAAAAAGATATTTAAATACAATATGACCATGTTAAAAACAAGTGCTTTTAGGTGACCTGGAAAAGACTCAAGAAAAGTAATGCCCAATGAAGAATTGGACAAACTTTTGTTGTTACTGTTTTAAAATTCTGCTTTTGGCAACACCTTTGTTATAGTTATCTATGCTCTAAAAATGTTTATGAAATAATTAGGCAACTCTGGTGGCCTCATGGCAAAAAGCTGCTCTGCAGTCCCAGAAGCACACAGTTTGAGACCACCAGCTCTCCGTGGCACTGCCACTGAAAATCCTCCTGAGGGTCAGGCATGGGAGGGTTCGGTTCCAACTCAGTGGAACACAAGAAAATGCTTTAAAATTTTTTATTAAATATTGTTGTTGCTGTGTGTTGTAGAGTCAGACCAACCCATAGCTGACCCACCAGCGGGTTTTCAGAAGCATTTAGTAACACAGGAGGAGAGTGCCCATCCTTCTCCTACAGAACAGTGGGTGGCCTCGTACCAAGTGCCTTCAGGGCTGCAGCACAGCTTCTTGCCGTAAGCCACCAGAGCTTCCTTTTTTTTAAAATTTTTTATTAAGATGTCTTTATAATGTGTACAAAGATATTTACAGGAAAGTAAACATTATCAGCACACCATATTAATCTTCTGTGTTTGATGGTCTGGTATCTTCCACACTTGAGGTTTGGGATTTTTCATCTAACCACCCAGCTTTCTGTCTTGCAGTGTGATGGACAGTATATTCCTCTCCCTAGTCTGCAAGGCATAGCGGTGCTGAACATTACCAGCTATGCCGGTGGCACTAATTTCTGGGGTGGAACTAAAGAGGATGATGTAAGTAGCATCATGGGAGTAAGTAATATATGTCCTCGACAACAGTTCAATTCCTGAAATTACTTTTTTAAAAAATAAGTCAGTAAACCACATACCATTTATTTCATTCCACCTTTGTGAATGCTGTTCTATCTCATTGGGAGAAGAGAAGTAGAACAAGTTTTTAAAGTATTTATGTAAGTGGAATCTCATTGTTACCTGAAATTTTCATGTTTACTGTATCAGATAGATTACATCTGTGGAAAGAACCACTGAAGAAGCTCAGTATCAGCTGTGAAAAGTAGGCCTGGTGCTGATTGTGGAACAGACCACCAACTACTCATGTGCAAGTTTAAGATGAAGCTAAGGAAAGTGAAAAGAACCAAAATATGACCTTGAGTCTATCCCACCTGAATTTCAGAACCATCTCAGGTACAACATTGAAGCCTTGAACACTAAGGAGCGAAGACCAGATGAGTTATGGGAAGATATCAAGAATATCATCCAGGAAGAGTGCAAAAGGTCATTGCAAAGATGGAGGAGGAAGAAAAGACCAAAATGTATGTCAGAAGCGACTCTGAATATTGCACTGAAGCACCAAGAAGCCAAAGCAGAAGGAAGAAATAAAGACATTAGGGAGCTGAACAGGAGATTTCAAAAAGCTATGCGAAAAGACAAAGTAAAGTATAATAAAATGTGCAAAGAGCTGGAGTCAGAAAATCAAAGAGGCCGAACTCGCTCAGCATTTCTTAAGCTCAAGGAACTTGTAGAGTCAGACCAACCCATAGCTGACCCACCAGCAGGTTTTCAGAAGCAGTTAGTAACACAGGAGGAGAGTACCCATCCTTCTCCTACAGAACAGTGGGTAGCCTCGTACCAGATGCCTTCTGAGCTGCAGCACAGCTTCTTGCCCTAGGCCACCAGAGCTTCCTTTTTTTTAAATTTTTTATTAAGTAATTAAGAGAAATGTCTTTATAATGTGTACAAAGATATTTACAGGAAAGTAAACTTTGTAAGCACACCATATTAATCTTTTGTGTTTGATGTTCTGGTATCTTCCACACTTGTGGTTTGAGATTTTGCATCTCCCTAGTCTCAAGTTGCAATACTTAAGGATGATTTGGGAAGAGTATTGAGTGATCCGGCAAGTATTAAAAGAAGATGGAATGAGTATACAGAGTCATTATACCTAAAGGAATTGGCAGACACAGAAGAATTTTATGAAACAACATATGAACAAGAGCCTGTGGTGATGGAGGAAGAAGTTCACACTACTTTGAAAGAATTGGCTAAGAATTAGGCCCCAGGAATTAATTGTATATCAATTGACATATTTTAACCAACAGATGCTGCCCTAGATGTGCTAAGTTGTACCAAGAAATCTGGAGAACAACCACTTGGCCGACTGACTGGAAGAGATCTATATTTGTTCGCATTCCAAGGAAAGGCGATCCTACTGAGTGTGAAAATTATCGAGCAATCATTAATATCACATGCAAGCAAGATTTTGCTAAAGATTATTCAAAAATGACTAGAACAGCACATCAACAGAGAACTACCAGAAGTGCAGACTGGGTTTAGATGGGTCCGTGGTACTAGGGATATTGTAGCTAATGTTATATGGATCTTGACTGAAAGCAAGGAGTACCAGATTGCATTGATTACGCAAAGACATTTTTGACTGTGTGGATCATAACAAACTGTGGCTAACTCTGAGAAGAATAGGGATCCCAGAACACTTGATTGTACTAATGCGAAACCTCTGCTTAGAGCAGGAGGCAGTCGTCAGAACAGAGCAAGGAAACACTGCATGGTTCAAAATTGGGAAGGGTGTATGCCAGGGCTATATATCCTGTCTCCATACCTTTCAATCTTTGTGCAGAACAGGTTATACAGGAGGCTGGGCTCTATGAGGAGAAATGGGGCATCAGGATTGGAGGAAGAATTATCAACAATCTGCATTATGCAGATGACACAACCCTGCTTGCTGAGACTGAGGAGGACCTGAAGCACTTGCTGTGGAAGGTCAGGAATTGCAGTCTTCAGTATGAATTGAGACTCAATATTAAGAAAACAAAGATTCTCACAACTGGGCTAATTGGCAGCATCATAATGGATGGTGAAGAGATTGAGATTGTTCACAGTTTTGGTTTGCTTGGCTCCACAGTCAACACTCTTGGCACCAGCAGCCAGGAAATTAAAAGACGTATTGCTATGTGAAAGTCAGTGGTGAGAGACCCCTCGCTAAAGTGCAGGGATGTCAGTCTGGAGACTAAGGTGCGCCTGATACATTCCATAGTCTTTGCAATCACTTACTATGCATCAGAGAGCTGTACAATGACTAGGAATGATAAAAGGAGAATTGATGCCTTTGAACTGTGGTGTTGGAGAAGGGTATTGAATATTATACCATGGACTGCTAGGAAAACAAATGGATTTTTCCTAGAGAGGGTGAAGGCGGGCTTCAGGATTGGAGGCAAGGATTCTGAAGCTTCGTCTAACATACTTTGGACATATTGCAAGGAGGGACCAGTCCTTGGAGAGGAACATCATGCTTGAGAGGGTAGAGGGACAGCACAGGAGAGGAAGACTCTCGACGAGATGGATTGATTCAGTGACTGGGGTTATGGGTGGTAGGTGTGTCAGAGATGGTGAGATTGGCACAGGATAGGGCAGAGTTTAGGGCTGTTGTAGATAGGGTCGCTATGAGTTGCAGGTGACTCTATGGCACATAACAACAACAACATACAGATATTCAGATTTTGGCATATATGGGGAATTTTTATAAATGATTACAAAGTATCTGATTTTGCAAAAGTAGCAAGGAGGGCTTTTCCTTTTTCATTTCATACCTGTTTTAGTTTTCTACTACTTCCTTAACAACACATTTTCTGTATTAACCAACTCAGCATTTGCTGTTTTAAAATACTGGTCTGACCTAAATGTGATGTGTTTTAGTGGGCTAAAGTAAGGACACTGGCAGACTGGCATCCTTTGGAGTTGCAGGAAGAAAATCCTTTTCCTTAAACTTTCCTGCTTCTAGAGGCTTCTGCAAACTTCCAAAAGTTGCTACATTCTTTGGCTTGTAGTCCCTCCTCCATCTTCTGACAACGGTGCTAACAACGGCGAATTAAGTCCTTTTCACATGGCATTCCTCTGACCTCCTCTCCTGCCTCCCACGGTCACTTTATGACCCTTATGGTTTCATTGGACCCACCTAGACAGATACTCCAGGATAACTTCCCCCATCTCCAGATCCTCACCTTAGGCACATCTGAAAAGTCCCCCTAAGGCAGCATTCACAAACTGGGAATTAGGATGTGGGCATCTGAGTGGAGAAGCATTAGTCTGCCTAACACAATACCTTTCTAACTTTGAATTTCTAAGCACTTATTCATGTGCTATTTGTATTTAAACATATTTGAAGAAGATTAGTTTAGAGAGTTTGTGTAGATCACAACAAATTGAGTGGCTAACATTGAGAAGAGTGGGAATCCTAGAATACCTGATTGTATTCATGTGAAATCTGTACCCAAACCAGGAAGCTGTTGTCTGCCCAGAACAAGGGAACACTGCATGATTCCGTTAAAAAAGGAATGCATCAGGGATGTATCCTTTCTCCGTACCTTTCCAGCCTATGTGCAAGAGCAGATCATTTGAGAGGCTGGACTTCATGAAGAAGAACATGGTGTTGGGATTGGAGGCAGATAACTCAACAACCCCCCTTATTCATTTGACTTTGCTTGCCAAAACTAAGGTGGACTTGAAGCATGTGCTGCAGAAGGTCAAGGACTACAGATTGCATCTCAACATCAAGAAAACAAAGAGCCTTGCCACCAGGCCAATTGATGATAGATGGAGAAGAGTTAGAGGTTGTTAACAATTTCATCTTGCTTGAATCCACAATCAATACTCTTGGCACCAGCAGTCAGGAAATCAAAAGTGGAGTTGCTTTAATGAACTCTGCTCTCAGTGACCTCTTCAGAGTGCTGAAGAGCAAAGATGTCAGTTTAGAGACTGAGGTACACCTGATCCCGGCCATGGTCTTCTCAGTTGCATGCTGTACATATGAGAGCTAGTCAGAACTAACTCATAGCTCACCCTCCAGTGAGTTTTCAGAGACACATGGAAGAAGTTTTTCAATGAAGTGTAATGTAGTTTTTCCTTTCAGATATTTACTGCACCATCCTTTGATGACAAGATACTAGAAGTTGTCGCAGTGTTTGATAGTATGCAGATGGCAGTGTCAAGGGTCATTAAACTCCAGCATCATCGAATAGCCCAGGTGTGTTGTATGTTTCCCTAATAAAATGTTACACAGCACTAATGGGGCTGCTAGGCGTGGGGGAGTACGTGGGTTGTGTATGGATATGTGGCAAGGGGACAATATTCTAGTGGTGGTATTCCTGTATCGTAGATGCCTCTGTAGAATAACATCAGCTGTTGCTGTGTAGAAACACAGCATTTCATAGAATTCTTGCCATTAGTTGCTGTTGAATTGATTCTCACTTATGGCAGCTCCAGAGGTGCAGAGTGGAACTGCTTCATGGGCTTTCAGAAGCAGATCCCCCTGCCTCCCTCCCAAGGTGTTTCTGGGTGGATTTGAACCTCTAGATGTTCAGCATAACATTTAGATCACCAAAGGACTCCTGGTTTACAGATTGACCTGAGAGAATGTCGTGAGTTCAGAAATAAAGCTTAAATGCCAACTGAGTGCCAGTTTTCAGGATAATTTACACCATTGCGTGTCTTTTTGTTTTCCAGTGCCGTACAGTAAAAATCACTATATTGGGTAGTGAGGGACTTCCAATCCAGGTGGATGGTGAAGCATGGGTGCAGCCTCCAGGGATTATCAAAATTGTGCACAAAAACCGGGCTCAGATGCTAACGAGAGATCGAGTATGTAACCAAAGTAATGCTCCTACCAAAATTATTCCTCTAGATTTTTCTAAGCTTAGGATTTATTAAAAATCTTAAATTGTTAAAATAAATAAATAAATAATCTTAAATTGTAAAATAGAAAACAAAGAATTTAGTGTGTTATAACTAACATATCAATAATTTGTGGTTTTCAATGACTGTATTTGTACACACACATTCAATATTTTTTTATTTACGGATAAGACTTCCAATATCCGCCCTGCCTAACATAATAGTAAACTTTGAAGCAAAGAATAGTTGTCTTTGTAAATTATCATCAATTTAGTTATTTTTGTATATTGCTAATTATACTGCCATATGTCAGAAAACAGCAGGTCATTTTGTATGTTTTTGTTTATTTGATGATTAGGAAAAAAGTCATCATAGTTCCTCAGTTTTTTGTAAATTTTTTGTAAAACTAGGCACACCTTTATTTAGGCATGTTTGAGAGTTCTTCTCTAACATTACTGATTTTTAATAGGCTTTTGAAAGCACTCTCAAATCTTGGGAGTATAAACAGAAGTGTGATCCTAGTAAAACAGTGATCAGAACCCATTTGTATATTCATAATGCCGTTGACTTGGCAACAGAAGAATTGTCTCAGATGCAGCTGTGCTCAGCGGCGGCCGAGGAGCTCATCACAAGGTATGGCAGGACTACTGCTCTCCACACCATGAGCAATTTGGCGTTAGCCGCATTTGTAAATGCATGTCTTCAGTTGTGTGTGATGTCTAAAGAGATCTTTCCGTGCTTCTTCATGGACCGAATCATTACAAATTGCTGCTGCCATCACCCTTCGCCCATTTCCCACGACACATATCTGCATGCCCTTCTGCAGTTTGCATCTTGTTGCTTTGTTAATGTGTGCCGTCAAGTCGGAGCCAACTCAGAGCTGACCCTCCAGTGGGTTGGCAGAGGCAGTAAATCACAAGGCCGGAGACCGCTCATCCTTTTCCTGTGGAGAAACCAGTGGATTTGAACCACTTGCTTTTGGGATTATAGTGCAGCTTCTTTCTAAAACAAAATAGTGAGTCTGGCCAGTGTACCCTGTTCTGCTGTACCCTTGCTCTTCTGTTTCTGCTTGTCTCTGGGGGCTTAGTAGTAAGGAGTTGTGCTGCCAGCCCGAAGGCATGTGGTTCAAATTGCACCAGCTGTCCCATGAGAGATAGATGGGCAATCTCTTGTCATGGAATTTACAGCCTCTGAAATCTTGCTAAAAGGTCAATAACAAGTCAGTTCTGGCTTGATGGTCTATAACAGGAACTAAGAGGACAAATATTGTATAATACTGCTGTCATAAAAAAGCTGAAGATAGGTTTAGGGGACTCTAGTGGCTTAGGAGTAAGGTGGTGTGCTGCCAACCCAAAGACACGTGGTTCGAATTTACCAGCTACTCTCCAGGAAAAAGATGGGCAGTCTCCTCTCATGGGACTTACTGCCACTGAAAACTCACTGGAAGGTCAGTTATGAGTTGGTCTTGAATCAACAGTACATAATGACAATGAGGAAAGAAAAGTTTGCACACAGAAAGTCTTTCATGGGTGGTTACCAGGGCTGAGAAGGGAAGGTGTGACAATTAATAACTAGATAATGAACACTAAGGTGAGTGAAGGGATAGTCCAGAGAAAGTGGATGATCAGACATTGTGCAGATGGCATTTAATGTGGTAAAACAAAATGTGTGAATGATTGAATGAAAAACCATTTTATTTTGTAAACTTTTCATTCAAATCACAAATAATAATGTGGGTGAGTTTTTTTTTCCTTACTGTATATTTAAAAAGCACTGAAAGTAGAAAAGAAAAAAGACTTACTGCTGTCTAGTGGAAATCCACTCATAGCTGACCCTTCTGATGGAATCTGACCACCCAGGTAGTGTGACTTTTGAGTTAACAGTGCAACTTGCTAAGGTCCAGGCCACTTGAGTGCCCTCAACAGAATGTAAGATCTAAAATTGGCAGGTGGGTGGAGATTAGGAGACTGGTTGACCCATAAGTTTCTAGTGAGTGGCTAAACAGGGGGAAAAGGATTCAGGAAGGGAGCAAATTTGAGAGGGAAAAATTGATTGCATGTTGGATATCGGGAGAGTGCTGGTGGCATAGTCCACTGGGAGTTTCTTGCTGACAAGCTCTCCTCCTGCAATGCACAGCCTCACCAATAGTGGAGGGTCAGCCAGGAATCAGTGCCCATGAGGATCTGGGACTTTGGATTGTATCTCACATGTGTTTGAAGTATCTTGGAAGACTACTTGGACATGTTTACTTGGGCCTTGGCAGTTGGCTCCTCTTTCTAAGACCTGTCCCTCCTCTCCCACCCATGCGTTGTTCAGTCAACTCACAGGTGGTCTGAATTGCCAGGGCCTGCTAGCCTAGCTCACCCTGCCACACAGGGTGGCTTGGCTTTTCTCTGTTGAAATCGAGTTTGTATACATTGTATTCACTCTGTACATACTTACAGGCATTTAGGATGTCAGATAGACATTTCACTCCTACATGTGGTGAGTAACATCTGAGGAGCAGAGAGTGACTGGTGTAATGGCCATTCTCTAGAATATACTCTGTGATCATCTGTCTCTTGTTTTGTTTTGTTTTGTCTTGTTGTTGCACACAGCATCTCTTGATTTATCTCCTTTACCCCAAAAAAAGTAGAATCACTTTAAGTGTTACTAAATACATGTTATTTTAAAAATTAGAATAACACTAAATATCATTAACTAAACATTATCCTAAAAATTAGAAAAACACTCAGCTAGCTGGGGCCTCTGTCCTATCTGGTTCTGTTTTTTTCCCCCAGTTTGAAGACCATTATGTCTTGAAAATGTTGGAAGCTAAAAGAATTTTAATAGACCTGCATTATTTCAGCTTCTGGGGGGAGTTTCTCTCCTTTCTCTTATCCACCCTCCTTCCTTCCAGGATTTTGTGTCTTCAGAGCTGTGTCTGGAGGCTCAGACACCAGAGAAGTATAATGCAACAAGTTTTGGAGTTAGATAGAAATGGATTCAAATTCTGGCATGTTGATTGAATGGGGCAAAAACCTGGCAATCTCCTCCGGTAAAGATTTACAACCTAAGAAGTCATATGAGGCTATTTTGCTCTGTCACATGGGGTTACTGTGACAACACCTAACAGCAACAGCAGCTTGGTGTGCTTCCCTCTGTTCCTGAGTGTCAGCATCGGTGACGCGGGGAAAGCTATGGTTGTGCACACCGAATAAGATGGTTTCTATGAAGCTTTTAGCACATATATGCGTTTGAATTATGGTGTTGGGGGAAAGCATTGACTGTATCATGGACTGCTAGAGAACAAACAAATCTGTCTTTGAAGAAGTTTAGCCAGAATGTTTCTTACAAGAGAGACTTTCTTAGACTTCATCTCATGTAATTTGGGCTTGTTAACAGAAGGGCCAGTCGGTCCCTGGATAAGGACGTCTTTCTTGATATAGTAGAAGGTCAGCCCGGAGGAAGACCCTCAGGGAGGTGGTTGACACATTGGCAGCAGCAGAGAGCTCAGACATCAGAGCAGCAGAGCTGGGCTATTCTGTTGTATGCAGGGCTGTTGTACGTTTGCACCAATTCCGCACCTCCCAGCAGTGACAACAGCTTATCATGGAGATGATACATATGGCAATAGTCTTCTCTAGTCTTCATACATGTTCTTGGTTAAAGTTTCAAATTTCTGCTTTTCAAATACTTAGTGATGCTACAAAATGAAGCCCAGTACAACCTTTGAGAGATCGAACTGCCTTGTTCCTCCAGGTCTCAAGTTTCCCACCTTTGACACAGGGTATGGTCTTATCACTTTTAAATAACTCTGCTGGAGGGGAATATTTGCCTTTTTTTCCTCTTACAGGTTTTCACCTAACTCAGGTTTTAGGTATTACTTATTTATTTAGATAATATAGATACATATCTCACATAAATATATATCACATAAGTATATTTGATAACATGTATGATTGCTCAGTTATGAATGGTATGAAGTAAATGTATACATTTCAAACCCCACTGATCCAAAGAATATCACATAGAAGCAATCTTTATAAAGAAAACTTGGGCTTCTAGTGAGAGGCTAACAAATGTGAACTATTTGGAAGACTAGAGTCTGGTGATACAGCAAAATCTGAGAGATCTGAAACCTGGGTGAGGTAGAAACCTGTCAGAGGAAAAAAAGGCCAGTATTTCCCTTTGTTGGGACCTCTGGTGGTCTAGTACTAAGAGGCTGTGCTGCCATCCCAATGGCACACAGTTTGAATCTACTAGCTGCTCCATGGGAGAAAGATGGGAATTCCTCTCCCATGTGATTAAACTGCCTCTGAAGACCTTCTGGAGGGTCAGCTATGAGTTGGTTCTAACTCAGTCGTGTGTGTGTGTGTGTGTGTGTGTGTGTGTGTGTGTGTGTGTGTGAAGTTAACCTGTTGTGGTCCAGTAACTGACTCCACTCTTTCCTGCAGAGATACTGGTGGATTCAAACTGGCCATCTTTAGGTTTAGTAGCACATCACATACGGACTGAGCCACTAGAGCTCCTAGATAGATAGATAGATAGATAGATAGATAGATAGATAGATAGATAGATAGATAGATAGATAGATAGAGCTAGTAAGAAAAAAATTAACTTATTTTATCCTGTCAGTTCTATACTTTAAAAAAATTATCAGTGTCCAAAGAAGCTTTGTATTCACTGGTCCAATTTTTGCTTCCAGGATTTGTGACGCAGCCACAATCCACTGCCTTCTGGAGCAAGAGCTGGCTCACGCTGTGAATGCGTGCTCCCATGCCCTGAACAAGGCCAACCCCAGGTACCCAGAGGTGAGGAGAGAAGGGTAAATTCCCGTTCTGCAGCCTTGTTGGTGTGATACTCCTATAACTTATCATGATAAAATACACCACACTTGAAATACACCACAGTTCATTTAGTCATGTACGTCTGAGCCAAAAACTTGTGATACATTTATGTCCAGATTTTTTTTCATTTTCTGTTATGCCATTTTCCCATTCCTACACCTGAGCTCAGTCTGTTTATTTTTCATTTCACCATCAACCCTTGTCACCTTGCCGGCTTCTCACGCTCTTTGTCCTTTAGCCACCACCGCCCTCTCTCCTCCTTGTACTTCTATCTGGCTCCTCTGTGGGGAAGACACAGTTTGTTTTTTAAGCCATGCGTGGAAATCAATCTCACCTTGTTTTGTTCTGGGAAGCTTTGGTGGCAGAGTCAGTAGAGAGTTGCCCTGCTGGCCCAAAAGCTGCCCCGTTCTGGCAGTTCCCATGCACTTTCTCTGTGGGAGAAAAATGGACAGACACCTCCTGTGCTATTTACAGCCTCTGAAAACCTACGTGGAGGGTCAGCTATGAGTTGGTACCAACTCCTTGGCAACGAAGTTTTTGAGTTTTATTGTTACACTAATCCAGAAGTTGATGCTTCTCTACAATTTTAAACAGAAAAAAAGCTCTCTTGAAATATGAAACATAGTACAACACTATAATAGAGAGACACTGATATGAGAATGTTCTCAAAATCATTCAATTAAAGATACCTAAATTAATATACAAATAATTGCTGGTCCTCAAGATTACAGTCTACAAAACCAAATGGCAGACACTACCGAAAGTCAGTAAATAGAACTAATTAATAATCAGATACTAAGACATAGTTTTCTTTGACTTGGCCTTTTATATCAATACAGAATAACTCAATGCCCACGAGTTATGAATTAACTCATAACAGACCCTCCAGCAGGTGTCCAGAGACTGTAAATTACGTCTGAGCAATTTCAGAGACGTAAATGAGAGACGATTGTCTACCTTTCTCCTTGGAGAAGTTGATGGATTCGGACCACATCCCTTTGAGTTGACAGTACAGCTTCTTAACCAAATGCTGGTGCAGCATATTTGTATCCGTAGGATGGAGATGTGATTCTGAATGAACTCAATGATAAGATAATTAGAGGAGACATTGTACTGGCAAATGTATGTGAAGTTTTAGTAACTTTTTAAAATTTATGTGATGTGAATTTAAACTGTGAAAAAAGATTTTAAAAGTGTTTACTGGTAACAGAATCACAATTTAATACGGTGCTACCTGTCTTTGATATTCTTCTTTTCTAGAGTCTCACGAGGGACATTGCCACTGAAATAGCCATGAATGTGAAGGCACTGTATAATGAAACGGAGTCCTTACTAGTTGGCAGGTGTCCTTTGGTAAGGAATTTGTCAGTAATGTGAATGTGGTAAAATACACGTGTGGGCCTTGTCTCTGCTTGGAGACCCAGCCTTCCTCAGATCCCACTGCAGAAAGAGCCTCCTGGCTTTCATCCTTGGTCCTTCTCCTCTTCTAGCTCTTCCATGAAGCAGTTAAACTGAGCACTGTAGTTCAGACTTGCAAGAGTAGAGCTTTCACCTCACATATTTCAGCCATGTTTTGCGCCAGCCGCTCTGTTCAGTTAACTTGAGCTTTGTAAAGTGTTGTGGAAAAGGAGAGAAAATCCAGGTAAGTTTTATTTCCTGACCCCTTGAACTATGATTGGCTTGATCTTAAGGGTTGCTTTTCAGGACCCTTCTACATACAGTGTTTCAAAAACTGAGCATCTGTATCCAGCCACAGTTTAACTAAGCCCTAGTTTAACTAAGATTGGTCCTGGAAGTGAACTGGAGGGTCAAATTGGATCTACCAGAGTCCATGGACTCAAGTGTAAGTGCTAGAACAAACCCCTAGAAGCCCTGCTTTTTCAGACCCCTGTGTTTGCCTGCGTGGCCTGTTTGACTCTCGAGTCTCTTTTCTAACACAGTGGATGTGACTGCCACCTAGTGGTCAGTTATGAGTTAGTCACACATTCCTGTATACTATTGTGTTGAGCTCCTCTAGTACATTAATTATTGCTTTCCATTTGTAATCATTTTGATTAGTAGATAATTATCTTGAAATATTTCTAGTTCTTGTTTAAGAAAATATACACTTAAATAAGAGCAATGTTGTTGTCATTGTGTGCTGTCGTGTCAAAACTGACCCTTCAGTTGGTTTTCGGAGGGAGTAATAGCCCAGGAGGAGATTGCCCATCCTTCTATCATGGAGCAGCTAGTGGATTTGAGCCATGTGTTTTGGGGATTGCAGCACAGATTTTCACCACTAGACCACACTGAAAGTCCTATTTGGCCATATGAGGGAATAGAAGTGTGTCAAACAGTCTAGCTAACTGAGAGTAAATGATTAGCGTTTATACTCAGTTGGATTCAGAGGCGTGCTGCCATCAGAGTACCTTTTACTCTGAGTACAGAAATAGAAAGTCTGCAGGAGACTTTTAAACTGCTCTTCTCTGCCTCCAGGGTAGACTAGAACACAGCTTCCAGGGGCAAGAGGCCAGCTGCCTCTTTAATGGCCAAAAAGAAATTTTAGGAAGAAATGCTTGTTCTCTTTTTCTTTATGTATTCTATTCCTTGTTGTACTGTGACACTGCTGTGTCAAATGTGATAATGGTTACCCTTGGTGTGTTGTAGAGCTCCCAGATTAAAACAGACTTGGAAGCAGGAGTGGCATCCACTTCTGAAATAGCTTGCCTCTGGAAACTCTATGAACTTAGAGAAATGATGGAAGTTATACAAGTGTTCAGGTCTTTTGTTCATAGGGTCGCTATGAGTAGTCTACGACTGGATGGCACTTAACAACAACAACTCCTTTTGTAAAACAAATACACAGAAAAAGATAAACCAGCTCTAGAAGTTTTACATGTATACTTCTATTACTTTAATTACATTCTTCAAGTTGTATAGCTGTTCTCTCCTTCCTTTCCAAGTTATCAGAAACTCCCTGTCCCATAAGTTTCTTACCTGATTCTTCAGGTTGCTAGTGTCAATTTAATATCAGGTTTCTAGGGTCTGTCTACCAGAGTGATCTAAATCTTGAGATTTGAAGGGGGGAAACCCAGAAATAAACAAGTTATACACTGATACTTATGTTGCTCCTGAGAAAGAAAAAGGAGTCATCAGAATATCTATTCTAACACTCCCAAGCCAGATAGAAATAAATGACAGCTACACTGCTTGTGCTCCTATGAAACTCCACGACTTCCAGTTCCCATCTAGTTCTTCAAGGCGTGCTATTCTCAAAGCAGACATGCTAATGAAGTGTTGTCTGGTTTTGAGTAGACATCAGGGAGTATTTTTTGTTTAAGATAAACCCAAAGGTTACCTCAGGACAATAGTTTCAGGAGTTAATTCAGCCTCTGTGACTCCATAAAGTCTAGATTCTGTGATAATTCTAGATTTTATTATCCATTTTTTCCCTTTTTAATCTGGAATCTTTGTTGAAAATGTTCAGGATTATCTTTGTTTGCTAAAACCAGTGGGAACATTTCTTGGCTATTTTTGGCACTACTTGTTTTGCCAGAATCTTGTTGCTATCTTTCTAAATAAGCCCTCTAGGAACTTGGTGAGCTTTACCTTTGGTCCCAACTTTTGGATCAAGGACATTTGCTTTTCTATTATTTGAAATATATTTAGGGTAATTTCTGATTGACAAGAATTAGAGACATAACTTAGTCTGTATTTTTCTTCTCTGTATACCTTGGGAGGGTGGAGAGACAGTGCAAGAGAGGAAGACCCTTAATGAGATGGATTGATTCAATGACTGTGGTAACGGGGGGTAGCTGTATCAGAGACAGTGAGATTGGCACAGGGTAGAGCAGGGTTTAGGGCTGTTGTACTTAGTATCGCTGTGAGTTGCAGGCAATTAGATGACATATAACAACAACAACATATACCTAAAAAAGGGAGCTTTGTATCATACTAGTTGCTTATATCCTCTTTGGGAAGTATTAGACCAAATCTACCTAGATTTTTTTTTTTAGTAAAAAATCAATACAACAGAAAATATTATCATTTTCCCTTGTAGTTATTTATGAAAGCTGAGTGAGAAAAAAATTGAGCACATTCACTGTCAAATGTCTAAATAAGATATTTTGGTTTGCTTTTTATTCTGGTCAATAGCAATTGGAATCGCCCCATGAGGAACGTGTGTCGAATGCCTTGCACTGTGTGGAAGTGCAGCTACAAAAGTTAACGGAGATTCCTTGGCTTTATTGCATGTTACAGCAAAACGAAGTCGAGGTATGTCTCAATCACGGTAATGGATTTTTCATTCATCTTTTGAAAAATGTATTCAGGGAAAACCCGATTTGAGACACTACTTTAAAATATACTGTTTTTGAACAAGTGAGAAATAGAATTTAGATGAAGAAGAGGGAATCTGTGTTTTCCGAAGCATCTTAATTATGAACCTTTTTGGCACGGGCATCTCTATCCTATACCATACAGTAAGGCACCTTTGATTGGACTGACAGTTCAGACCCACCCAGCAGCTCTGCGAGATGAAGTTCTGCTCCTGTGAGGACTTCAGCTAAGAACGCCCTGTGGGACAATTCTGCATTGTCACGTGACATCACTAATGAGTCGGAACCAACAGTTCCTGAGGAACGGCATGGTTTCAGGGTTGATAACTATGTTAGCTTTACTATTACAGGGAAGGTTTCTTTTTCTCCCCTGATATCCTTAACAGTTCTTTTCCTCTCCAATTTGAACAGGAGCCACCTATGGATGGTGCAAAAAGAAATAACAAGAGCACAGTATTCCGTATAGTGCCGAAATTTAAAAAGGAGAAGTTTTCGAAGCAGAAGACAAGTCCACAGCCTGGTAGGTGGTCCTCCCTAGAGGCATAGCATGACACTATGGAAAACATAACTTGAGTAATATGACATTGTCCTGAAATTATGTTTCCTAGGAGCACAAGAAATATTTGTTTCTGTTTCATTGTAGGGGCATTAGTATATACATTTTGATAATTCTTTTTTGGTTCTCAGTGGCAATATAGCTATCAGTGTATTACTTTCTTAGGGTCTTTTTCAAAGTTCAAAATCTAGATCAGTCTGGTGGACAGAACATACATTACTCTTACAATGTACTAATGATAATTTTCATCTAAAGTTGCATAATCTTTTTCCCACTGCTTTTAGGACTCACTGCACTATTTCAGCCCTTCAGCAATGATGTGCTATGATACGTGCATTTTCACACAGAAATGTAACCCTCTTTGCTGCTGTGTCCCTAGCTTCCTTTCCACTTCTCATTCAATGTGCGGTAGACGTCTGTTTGACACACCCTGTGGTTCTGTATGCATCAGGGGAGCTGCCTTCCCTAAAATGTTCATTTTCCAAGTTACCTATTTATTTCAAAAAGAGTATAAATTTTGTGATATTTATAAAGCAAACATTTAAGAAAATTTTATAACTAAATATAGCAGTAGACTTTTATTAAGCCTATCAGTGTGGAATAAAACTTGTAAGATATTATTTATACTGAAAAATAATGTGAACCAAATGTTCTTAGAGAGCAAGCCTGACAATATTTTAAATGGTCTTTTAAATTAACAAAGCATTCACTGCTATACTTATCAATAATTGTGGAATCCAGAGTGACATTGCTAGAAGTTAGGCAGAGAAGTACGTGTAAAATTGAATGTTCCATTACAAATTTTCAATTTTAACCTACACTCACAGCCCATTTCTGACCATAACTAGTTTCATACATAGTCTTAAGGAAATAGTCGCATCTCATGACTTATGGATTCCCTATTTGCGAACTGCTTACCTGCTAACATGTGCAGCAATTTCTGGTCACTCACAGGCATGTAGGATGCAGAGCAGAGCAAAATTAGTTTCTCAATGTGCACGTTTCCAGCTGTGACCTAACACTGCGAGTTCTTGTGCTGAAACGTGTCCTTTTTACGGTCTGCTTAGTGACCTGTTTTACAGATTTCTGTGTGCTGTTCGTTGGCAATCTTGCTGCTAACGATGATCCCGGGCATTGTACCCCAGTGCTGTCTTGTGTTCCTGTGTGGAAGAAGACAGTGTATGCATAATGAAGAAAACTCATGTGTTAAATGAGCTTGGGTCAGCCTGTGACAGTGCTTTCCCATCCAAGTTCAATGCCAATGAAATAATCAATGTTAACTAAGAGATCTTTAAACAGAAACACACTTGTTTTATACAAAATTACATAATGAACAGCTGACAAAAATGTGACGAGGGGCTGAGAGCTACTAACCTAGTAGTCCCCTAAGAGTACTTACATAGTGTTGCTGACATATGAACTACTCAGTGTGTGTGTTTGCAGTGACTTCACAGGATATAACTGGTGAATAATGACAGTTGATGATGCTTAGAATGTGTTCAGGCCTTGTGGCACTGATCTGAATTCTGTGAAATAAAATTTTTATACATACACCTATTCCAAACTTATTGACTATTTTGTCATCCGACATTCACATTTATGACAACAGTAATAATCATCTCCCCAGGTCCTTGTGCATTGACAGGATATATCCGTCAATAACAAGTACCAGGTTGCAAGCCAAGAGTGACATTTGATATGATGGTTAAGGTCCACAGCTGGGGAATGTCATGATCCTCCGTGTTTTTAATGTGACGTGAGCAGACTCCATTTTTGCAGAGTACTGGTTTTCACCTGAAGCCCTGGTCTGTGTTTGGAGCCTAACCATGTCTAAAAGTGATGAGTGGGTGCACCCCGTCGCCTGAGTCGCCCTAATGGACTAAGGGAAAAGGCATGGCCGCACAGCAGGGACTGTCTTTGTGTAGCCATTTCCTTGTGTTTATTCACAGTCCGTAGCTTGCATGGTGAAAAAAAGTGAAACTAATGTTTTGTTGAAACGATACCTTTAATTTTTTTCCCCTTTGCTAGCACTGCTGCTTAGTTCTGTTTTGCATCTTCTTTGGCCAGCCTTTGCTTTGTGATGCATTGAGCATGTAGAAATTAAGGGGGTTTTGCTCTTAACTTTGGTAGTTCAGAAATGGGGCACAGAGGAAGTTGCTGCTTGGCTGGATCTGCTCCATTTGGGAGAGTACAAAGAACTCTTCATCCGCCATGACATCAGAGGGGCTGAACTCTTGCATCTGGAAAGGCAAGACCTTAAGGTATTTCCTTTGTGCTACTTTTCCACTCTTGAAAAATGTTCTTGCAAAATGGAAGTCTTTCTCCTGCACTGCTTTTGTTATGTGCTTATAGCTTGGCCTATTATGTCTAAGTACGCGATGATCTTACATGCATTGTCCTGTGGCCTGAGTTCCTTGTATACTCTCTAAACAAGAATGTCAGCAGGATGTTCCTGTGAGAAGCACTCACCTACTAATAGACCTGAATTCAACATGAACACAATACTTGTGCTCAGCATCCATTCGCATGACTGCTCTTGTGCTAACATTTTCCGTACGGATGTTTCCATCCCTTCATTTTACTTAATCAGTGTGGAAGATGACAATTCTTGATGAAATGACTAAAAATATACATAATATATATGGCTAACAGCATAAAATTATTCAAAATACCAATTATCAAGCCTTTCTAATAAATGGGACTAAATAAAAGACTTCTAAAATAACAACAAAATCTCAAATCCGTTACCATCCAATCAGTTCTGACTTCCAGGGAGAAGTATGCAGTAGGGTTTCCAAGGCTGTAACACTTATGGAAGCAGACCGACACATCTTTCCACACGCCGCTGGTAGTTTAACTGCTGACTTTTGGATTAGCAGCCAAGCACTTTAACCTTTGTGCCATTACAGCTCCTGAGAGGCTTAGAGCAGCCCTATGATTTTGTTATATTTCTAAGTTGACCTTTTCTGAGTCATTTCAGCAACTAGCCCAAGACATTTGGAGTTTCTTAAATATTAAAAATGGTTACAATTTTATTATTCTCTAAAAAAAAGTTTCTTTTCTTTAGTAAATAAATAAAAATTATGCCTAGTTTTTGTTAAAAGCGGGTTGGAGCCCCTTTGCCGTTTGTGACTGAGAAGGAAAATAGTGAAGTTATAGTCTAGCTTATTGCTATATGCCATCAAGTCAGAAGTGACTCATAGCTGACCCTCTTGCAGGTGTTTAAAGGCTATAAATTGTGTGTAGGGAGGTTGCCAATATTTCTTCCTCGGAGCAGCTGGTGGATTACAACTATCTGTCTTTGGGTTGTCAGAGCAACACCTTACCCACTGGGCCACCAGCAGCATTCCCTTCATTCTCTGGGTGAAGATTCAGGTAGAAACACTGTAGTAAGCCTGTCCAAGGCTGTGGGCCAGTGTTTTCCTATTTTTTTTATCATTAGCTGCTGTTGTAATAAATTTGGCTAATACAAACTGACAGTGCTGGGGTGACTTTTTTATGTTCCTATGTACCTTCCAGTTAACTAGGACTCACAGTGACCCTATGAACAATGGCTCTGAACCTTTCCCTATTCTGAGGCACATTATTTTCTGAATGCAAAATTTTAAAATGCATGGTTATGATATGTAAACTCTATACATAGTGTTTTAACTCTAGATATATTTGTCATTTTATCTATACATCCCTCAACCAGGTGGATTGACATAGCGACTGCTGCAGTGGGCTCTAGTGTGTCGCGAATTGTGAGGATGGCACAGGATAGGACAAGATTCAGATCTGTTGGTCATAGGGTTGCTGTGGGTCATCCTTGGCTTGGCGCCACCTTACAACAACAGTGTTAGCAAAGCTCTCTAAACAGACCATGTGCATCATAAAGTTAAGGTAGCCAAGAAGAATTTTAGCACGTTACCAGTGGGGACCAGAAAAGACGGAGTAATAGTCAGCAAAGATCAATGATCATATGAAATGTAGTGTGAATGAAGGAATTGTGAAATAATGTATGTGAATTAAATACAATGTATATGAATTTTGTATGCTGACCAATATAAAATTTTAAAAAATAAGGACTAAAACAAAAAGTAAATAAATAAAAGTGGACACCTAAACATTTTGTTTGTTGTTATGTACCATCCAGTCAGAACTAATTCCTAGCTGACTCTCTAGCAGCTTTTCAAAGGCAGTAAGTCACATGGGAGGAGACTGCCCATCTTTGTTCTGTGGGGCAGTGTGGGGATTTGAACCACATGCCTTTGGTTAGCCGCACAATTCCTTGCTGTTAGGCCCCTAGAGCACCTTGTCAAAATAATAGTAAAATAATAAATGCACTCACTTCCTTTGTTCAGAGTCACAAATCTGAAACAGAACAAGTTCAATGTACACCTGAAGCCTCCCCTTAAGCAATATGCAGCTGTAGACTTCATATACAAAAAAGACTTTCAAACTTGAAGTGAGTACATGCAAAAATAAATTTAACTCCTTTTTGCCAGCATTTCTAGGTAGTATCTGCTCTCTAGAAGCTTATATTTGATTTGCAATGAATAAACATATATTTATGGAAAAGAATGTGAGTGGTATGTGATTGTGTGTGTATCCACATACAAACATTTGAAACATACTGACACAGCAAACAGACCACACACACAAGGAATGAAGCAGAACCTTGCAGAGTTGAAAAAGCAAAGCTCAAATATGGACCAAGATAAAGTTAGAATGGTAGCACTTGGCTGTTCAGTGAGTCAAAAAAGAGATTGACACAGTGACTGGAACAATGGGCTCAAGTATATCAGAGATGACGGCACAGTATGGGTCAAGGTTCAGATTTGTTGTTCATAAGGTCACTCACTATGAGTAGTTGTCTATTATTTGACAACCCCTAAAAACAGCAACATGTTAACAAGTCTTGAACCTGTTGGGGTTTTTTTACTATGAATGCAATAACATTCTCCTTTTGTTTTGTTTTGTTTTTCCTTGGCTTGGCTAGCTTTTATTTCCTTGGTTGGTTAGCATTTATTTCTTTTTTTAATTTTTTTATTTTTTACTGA